ATTCCTGCTTCCTTGATGTCACTGAGCCACCTCTGATCTCCCCGAGTTGCAGGAGCGTGTTTCTGCTGACGTACTTTCCAACAGCTAAATATAGGGTGTGGGAACGAAGCCAAAGGCCCTGGAAGAGCTGCCTGGGTTTGTTCTCTCCGAGGACCAAGAGCAGCCTAACGTCACAGTCAACATCTAGAAAGTTGTGCAATTCTCACTGCTGCTTTTAAACTGTTCAGGCCCCGTGGTTTGGTGCTTTTAGAAGAGACTGATTATTTCTATGGTTGAAGTCTTCCCAGCTAGCACTTCCCCCCCTTGCTCTGCTGCCTGTGAAGGAGTCCCACAGATTCAGCAGAGTGTTCCCTGCACCTACAGGCACATGACACAATGGTCCACTTTTCATTTGGCTACACGTTTTCTACCTGAAGCTTTAAACTTCACAGGAAGCTTCAAAACAACAGCCTGTCCCTTGCCCTCAGCATCACAGTGCTATATATATATGTGTGTATATGTATACATATATATATTTACACACATTCTTTTTCTTTACCACGATCCCATGCCACAGGGAGCAAACACACCCAATGTTTTTCCACAAAAGGGGGCTTTACATCTGTAAAAGAACACAAAACCCTCCACCAAACCCCCCAAAACACAAAGATCCACGTGTGCTGAGCTGATAGACTTTAATCCACACTGGCATTTCATTTCTTCAGCTCCGAGCAGCTTTCCAGGGGCTGCAACAGGGTGCTGCAGGGAGAAGGATCCAACCATCCCTGCTGGTCCTGTCCAGGCACGCCTGTTCTCACAGGGCAGACACGTGGTGTCCAGCTCCCCGTGGTGGGAAAGGCAGGGGCAGGAAACTGAAGTTATAAATAGGGCTCAGTGACGAAAACAATTTCAGCTCCTGGTAAATTTTGAAACAGGGTCTTTTCTTACAGGAAAGACAATACAGTCCTGTGACTGTATGGGGTGATGCAGAGTCCCCCTGGGGCTGGCGGGCAGGGCCCTCCCCAGGGATGCTCACAGCCAAGCACAACATGCACCATCCAGGAAGGGGAGTGTTGGGAAGTGGCTGGTGGAATCATGGTATTTAGCTCTTGGTTTTAGCTGAACTTCCTGTCAGAGTGGAAGGACTAGACCTCTCTGATGTCGCAGATGCAGAGCTTTGCTTTCCACCCTGCAGCATGGCAACTGAGACAAAGCAGGGACCACAACTCCCAGGCTTGTGCCCAAGGTCAACGCAGCAGCCTTGTTGTACTTTTATGCATATCTACGTGGGCAAGAGGAAACTAAGCCACGTGCTATTCTGCTCAAACAAATTGCACTGAGTACAAACACTGCGAGAAGATATTTAATCTTGATTAAAAATATTCAAATCTTATCACTATACTCATGCTTCATCTCTGAAGTACCTCTCCTGTGCAGCAACAAGCTTCCTGACACTACTGATTAAAAGCCAGGTAGTAAGGAGAGATGAAACAATGACTGCAGCTCCCACCCAAAAACAGGCTTCAACTTTTCCAGATTCAAAAGCTGTGGATTTAGGCAATGCAGCTTGTTTTGTCCCAGGCTTCCCCCTCTGTGAAAAGCACTTTTCCACCTGAAAAGCCTGCTAGAAACAAATATTATTATTAAATACCTCACTCAGGCACTGCACTAACATAAAACACCGAGAACAGGCCACTAACAATTTCAAATCAATTTTATTTTCTTAAATCGGTGGTGTACATTTTAAAGCCAAAAAAAAAAAAAGTCACACAAAACACAAATAAAAAATGTTGACAAAGTATCAAGCATTACCTTATAAAGAACATCATCATACGCTCTCACAAACCTGAAGATACGTGTTTATTAGACTGAGGTTTCTTGAAATCTATTAGAGACGCTAGACACAAACGCTGCCACAGTAACAAAGCCATGACAAGAGCAGGTGGACTACACTAGCAACTTCAACAAGGGCTGGGGGTTGGTTTTTGGGGTGTTTTTTTCCTTTGTTTTTTTTTGTTTTTCTCCATACCTTATTGTCTACAAAGCAATAAATATTGTTTCACCAAAAAAGTTGGGTTTCACGCTACATGCAGTTAGATAAAAAAAGAAAGTCACCAAAGTGATGGCAAAATAAATCACTTGTCTGATTTTTCTCTTTTTTTTTTTTCCCCCTCCTCCAGATTTTGGAGAGGTTTTTTTGTGAGTTTTTTGTGTTTTTTTTTTTCTTTTTTAAATTCAAGCACAGTGGCTAAGTTTCAAGTATTGAGAGAAAACATATATACACGTTTGTGTTTGTGTGTGTATCTATGTACACCCACACACACCCACACACACACACCCTTGCATGTATATACACAAACACAGACATATATATTGGTTGTAGGTCTGTAAACCACGAATTTTTTTGGAGCAATATATACTTGTATACGTTGAATGTGGACAATTTGGATACATTCAAGTACTGAAGTCCAGCTGGAAGGTTAGTGCTGAGCTTGCCCCGGGCTCTGCTTCTCCTCAGGAGGCTCGGGGTACCCTCAGGGTTCCACGGGAGGGTTTGGGGTTTTGCAGGGCTCTGGGTTGCAGAGTCAGTCCTGGCTTAGTGCTCTCGTGCAGCCCTTGGCAGAACTGGCTGAAGCCTTTCCGAAGCAGTCTGGGGCTCCTCGGCGTGTCTGTCCACAGGCTGGGGGGGTTGGTTGGTTTTGTCTTTGTTGGTTTTTTATTTTTTTTTTTGTCTTTTCTCTTTTTTAATCTGTGTGTGTCCTTTTTTCCCCAGGCAAAAGCACAAACGGCCACAGAAGCAGCAGGCTGTGAACACAGGATGCAACAGCAGCCCAATACTGAAGCATTTCTGAGAGCTACATTTAAATACTTCCCTGGTCGGGGCAATTGGAAATATTTTTAAATTTCTTTATTGGCATTTCTGCTCTGTGATCAGAAACACCGACGTTGCCAAAGATGATGCCAGCTCCAAAGTCAATTTGCTCCTGAAACCCTTGTAAAGTATCACGTTGAACACGCCAATATTGAGAGGGGGAAAAAAAAGCAATGAGGACTTAACCACCCTGTGCAAAGTGTTTTTAGATCCCCAAAAACAAAGCCTGAGGTTTCGAGTTGCTTTCAAAGATACTTTTCTGCCCAGCACTACCAAAATACTGCCATGACTCTGATAAATTAAGACACACACCCGCAGGCAGACAGGAGGGCAGCCAGCTCTCCTCTCACACACGTGCTCACAGCATCCAAAGCCTCAGCCAAAAACTCAGCCACTCACACCCGCAGCCCCATTTGGCTACAGCGTCTCCTTAAAAGAAATGCTGAACATAAAACTCAACACTACAAGATCTCTTTATAAAAAAAAAAAAACAAAAAACAAAAGCAGCAAATAAAACTTCTTATAAAACAAATGCGTTTCCAATTTTAAGTGTGTAGGATCCTAACGCCTGTTCTTGAGCTCTTCAAAAGCATGGAGCTTTGTATCGACCGTCCTTAAAAGAACATATAAATAAAAAAATGCAAAACAAAACAAATGTTGAGACTGCCAGACGGCGAGTCAGCTTTGCCTGGTGTGGAGGAGGAACAGCACAGGCTCTGCAGTGCTTCTTGCCTCGCACTCACAAGATACAGTACAGTTAAATACGTACAGTTACACACAGACCATATCTATATATCAATATATATTCACCCTCAGGAATACATATTAATATATGCACACACGTAGTGCAATAAAACCACCAGGAAGCGAGGAAAGGAATAAAAAGAACAGCATTCCTAACAGTCGTGATGTTCCTGGGTTGTTGTGTGATGCAAAGTCAACTTCTCCAAGTTCCCATAGTGTGTAAAGTGCTCCTTTGATTCACAAAGCTAGTGTTTGCAGTTCGGGGTGGGGTGAGGGCTCCGGGAAAGGGGCCGTGGAGCCCACAGCTGAAAGCAGGACAGCCTTAGTGCTTCCTCCTGGGAGGTGTGTGCTGCCAGCCGGGGCTCCTTCACCTTCATCCCGCCGAGCCTGGGCACCGGGGTGGGAAGGGATTCCTTTTCCAAGCACTTCTGTCCCCCTCCTGCTTCCCCGCGTCCCTCTCCCAGGCAGGCAGGGGCAGTCCAGGCCGCAGGCACGGGAGATGCCAAGGGCCCCAGCAGCAGCAGCAGCAG